GACGAAGGGGCTGATGGGGGGTTGTACGAGGGGACGAGCATGGAAGCCGAGGCTGCATGAACCATAGACAGCGTTTCCAAATCATGCGTGGATCTTATAGGGATGGCCGGACACGCAGCGGCGACAAGGTGAAGCGGGTCAACATAGAGAGACCCGGTTTCCTAGAGGGAAACCACGGGAATAGAAATCAAATGGGCCGAAACGGGTAGAGTAGAATCTGCAGAGGGTCCGACCAAGTCACCAGAGAGGCGTCGTGTGCCCAAAGTGACAGAATTGCCATTTGGCTCTTCGATAGGGACCTTAGGAGAAGAGTTCGTACGATCAACAGAAGCAAGGGAAGGCTGGGGAGCCGACGGTGGCAAAGGGGGGGGGGAGGCAAAGGTGCTGGTGGTGCAACAGAAGGCGTGGTCCGAGGGCAGAGATTTTGACGTTTCTAGGGGGGCGATGATGTTTGTCGCCTTTCTTGTTCCTGGTAACAGTTTTCCACCCTTCACTATTAGCATGGGATTGGTCGAGCCCGTTCCCGTTGTCCAAAGAGATAAAACGATGAGACGGGGGTGATGCCATAGATCAGTAGAAGAAGCCGTCGACCTCAAGCCAGAGGAGGGACGGAATGGACTAAGGGTGAGGGACATCCACAATCAAACGAAGGGAACCTAGAGGAAGGGTCTCCATGGATTGCAAGTGAACCGCCACGAACGAGCCGCATGCACTTCCAATAGCTTGAAAGGTGTCGAGGCACCAGGAATGGAGGGGGATGTTTGAGGCTGTAAACCAAACCTTTTGCCGCCTGAAAGCTCCTCTGGTTTCCTCCCCTTTTATTAGGTGAAGGGTCGCACCTTTAAAGAAGACTTTAGAGGAACTGCTGAGAGCAGAGGTCACTCCATCTGTTGTGGGGAAGGAGAAAAGGAAGTTACCATCGATCAACTGCCTGCATTTCAAACCTGATTCTCTCCAGACTTCCTTAGCCCAACATTTGATATATTTGGAGTCGTTTCTCTGAAGTTGGAAGGATCCGACCAAAGACGACCGAAAAAGCTTGGCAAGATTAGCGGACCTGTTGGAGGGGATGGGGATGGGGATGGACAAAAGAGATTGAGACGGTAAGGGGCTAAGGGTACCAAAAATCACAGAGGATTCCAGGGGGTGGGCGTGGGATGAGGTGTTTTGTGGCATACTGAATAGAATCTCTAAGTTCCAGGCTTCGGATGAACCTCATTCATTAGATGGCAATATTGCATACATTGTTCAAATGTTGCAAAATCTGACAAAATCAATGACGATAACATTACAAGTAAAACGAGCAATGGAAACAGCTGCCAAGCATCAGCTGCCCAAGAATGCGGCAAGGAGATACTGGATTTTTCATACTAAGATCAAGCACCATATTCTAGATTCCCATGTATTTGAGCTTTTAGGACCTCCTCACATTGAACAATAAATGAAATGATACACCAGTTACAATAGACAAACAGTACATATCCATCATACCTCCAATATATCATTACATCTTTATAGCAATCTCCAAGATATGTGTTTGGTCACATTGATTTACTATATCCAGCACATCCTATTTCTCTTAAGGTTCATGTTGTTGAGCCAAACCATATATAGGGCTATCAGCTCCGGCTTTGGCATTTAAAAAAATTCAGCCTACAGACTTTGTGATTGACCTTTCACGTAGTCCCAGAACTAGTAAGTTCATTGATGAAGAAAAAAGATAAATATAAACAGAAATAATAGTAGGTTCATCAACCAATCACAGATCGCTATTGCCAAATAAAGCAACAATTTGAATGTCATATTCAGTTGAGTTGAGTTATAAGTTGGAATGTACAGATCTGCAGGAGACATCATGCTGTAGAATGGGTTCTGGTGAGGTTATTCCATGTTCGGTCCTATTTAACTTGGTCGCATGTACCCTCTGTTCTTGGCACATGTTGACATGCCAAGGACACAACATAAATGTCCAACACTTAGTCGGTTAGACACCTTTGCTGACCCGATTTTCCAAAATGTCAGTACTAAAGTACTCAATTTCCCCTCAACACCCACGTCACCTCCCTCTCTGAATGATGCACTGAGGTGCCGCAACTGAGAGGACAACTTTTATATTGGTGGTTTTGAAGCATGTATCCATGTCGGATGCTGACACATTCATCCATGTATTTGTACCATAAGAGAGTTGATGGTAACAGTTACATGGTCAACATGCAGTTCAGGAAATGGAATATGGATTAGTTTTCGAAGCCTGTATCTGCAACTGAAAGGGCACCTTGTCAAACATAGAAGGAATGAACATAGGAATGCTCTATTTTTAGAAAAGTTCATCAAACCACACCCAAGAGATTCACTATTTCACATTTCGCCCATTTCTCTTTGCCCCTACTTTCAAAAAACCAATCAAGGTGCACGTCAAGTACACATTATAAAGGTCATGCATTGATGGAGAGGCGGTTTTCAACTTTTCTCATCCATCAATATCAAAACAATTTTTAGGGAAACTACCTATGTGAAATATTGGTACATCTAAATACCAATATCCCACTCTAAACACCTTATGAAATGTTGTGATATTCGTATTTTTTTACACCAGTATCTAATCATAAAAGTCACCCCATGAGATATTGGTGTTTTTGAACACCAACATCTCACTAAGTCGCCCGTGAGATATTGGTATTTGAAAATACCAATCACTGACAAGGTGACTCAATGAGATATTGGGGCTCAAAAATACCAATATCATGGTAATTTACTTGGTGAGATATTTGTGTTAAAAAATACCAATAGATCCTAAGGTGTTTGGAATAAGATATTGGTATTTGGAAACACTAAAAAGTCCTAAAAAGTACTTTCGTGTTGAGGGGTAAATTTGAACTGTTACACTAATAATTTTACCCATTCTTGACCCCTTATAGCACATCTGCTGAGGGCCTTTTGTATTTAGGATAAAAAGATGAATAAAAGTTATATAATGCATCTCTTAAGGGTGGCTCAATAAATTTCCATAACGAGGATTCCATACCTACGTTGGTAGGAACACGAAAACCATCTTGAGTTCAAAGAATCTTTCCAAATGTCGCCCTAAAGACCACTATTTTATATTTTTAAAAATAATCATATCCCTTAAAAGTTATAGTGCACTCTATCGCAAGTGCTTTCTGGCATTGCAAAGCACTCTCAAACAATAAAAGGCAAAACCCTCATAAGATATTTGCTCTCTAGGCAATACTTTAAAAGTTTGCAGTTGCAAAGCCAGCGCTGAGCAAACCAATCGTAGCAGACACCACAAGGACTGATTTCTGCCTAGCCTATATGAACAAGCCAACAGTAGCAAAAGCTCTTTTCTGAGAGTTCCTGTTGCAAAGCACAAGAAGTGCTTTGCAGGTAAGGCTATGTATTGTTTGAGAGTGCTTCACGATAGTAAGAAAAAAACCTCTAAACTTGTGCCTTTACCTTAGATTTCTCTCAACGTTGTTGTCAGTCTCCAATTTACAAATGTATCCCCAAATTCCTCAGCCACCTACTTCAGTAGCCTTCAATAATGCCTTCACCACCATGCATTCTAAGACCTCGCAAATTTCCCATGAACTTCTCTATATGTTCTCCAACAGTGATGGACACCTAGTGTTTACCCTAACCACTTCTTCTAAGAAGCTAAAAAGGGATACTGTCATATGTTTCGCATGCCGCATAAGTTGTTGATGCAACCTAAAGTGCAGCTGTAGCAGTTCTCCAAAATCTTGCAACATGTTGGGTACTTATTCAACCTTGTGTCTTGGTTTAAGGATGAGATCCTTTATGGAAGTTTGCTTATTTGCTTTGGCGGAATCTGACCAAACATGACTAATTTTCAGCCACTTAATGCATACAAGGTCATAATGCATGTCCACAATCTCCATGCTGGCAAGTAAACTATCTCAACTCTTTCACAGACCTTCCCAATCACCTAGAGGTGTAGCTATTACACAACAATGGAAGGGAATGCTACTTTCTAAGCTAAACCAGTTGGCTTTTCCACCTCTTGAGGCTGAGGGTGGCCTCATCAGTCATCTTGGGGCCATGCATTAAATTACAAAAAACCTTACCCTTATGAGTAGATAAAAGCATGGAGCCACCAATAAGGATCAGCAGATTATAAGTGTTGTTGCATTCCATGACACTAAACCCACTTTCTGATCCAAACAACTGATATAAAGCTCAGGTAGAACATTAACAGAAGACATATTTGAGTTCCTCCTTTTATGTGCATTCGCATCCCCAGCAACCACAACCTGCTCTTGCTTAGTTCCCACACAACATTGACCACCTCCTTCAAGCTCCTAAATGGCAGTTGGACTGCCTCCACAAGTCTTGGCCCCATCATGTCCCCTAACACCATCCTATCACTGGAAATTTGAGATCGGTACTCACACTTTCAAAATATGCTTATCTGAAGAACGAATTATCAATCATGAAAGTTCGAAATGATCCAATTTCCAATTCAATCATTCAAGAACCATCACACTTATGCATGTCCCAGAAAGATTCATTCCCCTAAAGGAAAGCAGAAATATTTATTTTCTCCCCTCAAACGAGGATTAAGTAAATATTGAAGAACAAACAATTCTCTGTCACCATGAATAGACGAGTTTTCCCCACTAGAGAATACGGAACATAACTTCAATAGTCTAGCAAGAGATCCACAATACCAATATCACTTCCACATGTTGTAAGTGCTCTGCATCAAAATGCAGATCCATCAGTTAACATGGGTGGACATAAATCATTTTGAAGACCAAGGAATCAATTATTATTATAAGTGCTAAGAAACCAATAAGAGACTTACAGATCTTTAGAGCATATGGCAGATTTTTCAATGAAAGAAATTGCAAAAATTGTTGGAACTGTATGAACCCGAACAAGTGGATAGGTTCCAGAGAAGTCCACAATTTTTTATTGAGCCAACATGTGGGAAATTGACGTTTAGAGCAATTAATGAAAAGAACACAGCAGATTTTAATCATGACTTAGAACAGCTCCAAATTTCAGATCCAGGGAGATATGGTTAAGGTAAACAAGCTCATGTCATCACATGTACTCTCAATGACTGCATGTACGGCACATGTGAACTCTTTCCAAATAAGGTTTTCCTGGAAATAGAAAGAAGCAACCTCATTTATATCCTTCAAGAGGATGGGATCCAAGTAGAAGTTTGTTCAGAAATTTTTGCACTAAATCCCAAATCCCAGAGAAAGTCCAGATCCAAGTTTTGATGTCATGTCAAATAAAAGAACTTAATAATATCTTACAATATGTTGAAACATTTTACGTATTATGCCTTATCAGTTAAAGAAAGTTGCAAAAAGAAACAAACTTATTATTTGGTTCAAACAATCTAAATACGCATTGTAACCAAATAAAAAGAGAAGAATAATAGGCAGCCCTAGGAAACAAGCATGGTGCATATGTGCTAGAGTGGCATTAGGAAGTAATACCCTATAAAACTTCCTAAACTCCCTCTAATCCTACAACCATACTTACCACACCCGTACAACCACCACCATGGTTGTTAAAACCCCAATATCTTCCCTATATCTCCTGGTCTAATAACGGTGAGGACCTAAACTTTCCCTTGGCCCGTCCTAAGCCCAGGTAAAGGAGGTGTGTTGAAATAGGTAGGCGGCTAGAATAAAATTGTCACATCTTATCATGAATCCTGAACCTATGTTATTGGTCTTATTGAGAGTATAGCCCTTTATAGAGAAGAATGGAGGAACAAGATTCATGTAGCTGGCCCCAAATAATTGGGATAAGACATGGAGGAGGAGGAGGGTGATGATGATCTTCTTTATATCTCCCATGCAACTTTCCTAATAGAGACGTTAAACTATCATCAGCACCTTACAGCAAAACCTCCCTGATATTGGCTTGGGTATATTTTCTGTTTTAGCATACAGAGTAAGAATACTTATGCCTCTCAAAATTACAGGGACTCCCTTTGTATCCTCTCAAGTTTCCCCACCACCCCATCCAGAATCTAGATTAGACACATACAAAAAGTTCTCGTATTTCTCTACCATAGGATCTCAAAACCTACTAGTAGGCTTTTCTATGCAAAACAAGAAGCCCAAGTTATATTTTTTCAGGAAAAATTCAACCTTACATCCCAACTGATGTGCTAGAACCTCCACATAAGATCCCACCCAACCGTTAGAAGTAACAGTCGTGTAAAGTTTATACTCTAACAAGAAGTATACTCTACCTCATAGCATCCTTATATTTTCCAAATAAACACAAATTCCATCATGGAAAACCAGTGGATCATTAGTAGATTTAAGCTGTATCACAAAATCTCTCCTTAACTCAATTCTCCTTCATGTGCTCTAGTTGCTTAACTAGAGTTGTGGTTGAGCCAGGGTGGGGAGGAGTGACCAAAGCTCTAGTGGGAAGCTTATTCACTCTCAGTAAGAGTCCAATAAATCGTCAACCATCAGCAGTGGGACTTCGGATTCACCAAACCATGGCATTTTTTGAGAAAAAAATAAATGGAAGGGGATTAAGGCCCATAATTTCCTGATTGGATAACTTCTTGAAATGACTATAGGTTTGGCAAATTTTCTCTAGCAGACTGATAAACCAATTTCCATTATAATTACCCACAACAGTTTAGTATAGATTGCTTCCTGAGATCCAATGTTTCCACAATTTCATGTTAACCCCAGTAGGAGAATTGTTTGTTGCCCAATGCTCTACATATCTTTTTATCTTTGATGAGGTATTCAAAATGGTACATTATTTCTTGTGAGAGTAAAGTTCTTCCCACATGGTTCCTGAAGCATAAAGTCACAAAAGATTTATGATCAACGAACAATACGCGGAACACCAAATCAATTTAGGGGTATATCTTCTATTTACCAAGCAAGCCTTACATGATCAGTAGCAAAATAAAAATATTACAAGCCCAAATTCTCACTCCACTCCAACAAAAGAAAATTATCACAAAACATCAACAAAGCTACAATTACAAAATATAAAATGCGAAAGATAACATGGATATATGTTAGGAAAAAGTTTATATAAGGTTGCAACCTTATATTGTAGAAGTTAGGTGCACCGCAAAAATAAAATAGAAAAGAGCATTCCGAAGTTGGAAAACCTTCTAATCGATCATCTCGACCTCGAGATGTATAGACATAAAGAAAAAAACAAAGAATTTCAAGTCCAAAAAATAGTGCATCTTTTAACAATTTGTCTTGACCATCTATTCCAAGATTTTCAGGTGTTTATAGATCTACTCCATCTCTACCATTTTTTGAATTTTTAATTTTATAACCAGGGTCAAATATAAATTTTCAAGCCATCATAAGGTTACTGATACTGAAACTACATCTCCCGATAAAATTTAAAACCGCATATAAGGAGGCAACCTTATGTAAACCTCACCCAATATGTTATCAAGAGAAATAAAAAGGAGAAACTTAGGTACATGTACATGCATGGGTTGTTTACTGGGAGCTTGGCCAACAGGGAATCCACGCTATCAAGTCGAGTCCCAAGAATCGTAATCTTCCTTCGAATAGCTGAGACATGACACTGGGTTTCAGGGCCTGAGGGGGGCAAAGAGCTCCTCTCTGCAATCCTGACACTAATATCATCTGCAAGCTTTGATGCTTCATTAAACTCCCTCATCCACGAATCCGAAGGAGATTCCATTGCTGTTGAGATGTACCATTAGTGATTACTAAACAATCCCACCTTCATAAAAGATAAAAGACTGCAAGCAATTTTTCTAGATATATGGCATAACTTGCTACACTACAAGTTGAAGTTTAAGGAATTAATTCTCTAGACTCTATGTTTAAAAATAAACCCAATAATTAGGAGAATAATACAACTAGTTTCTATATCATTCGAGCATCAATATTTAATGGGTTTCCTTCAATTTGTGAATTGGGTCCAACTCCAGTTCACCGAGGTATGTCCACCAAACTTCATAGTGCAATCTAGATCCTATTGCTTAAACCATTTACCACAATACAATGATCAAGGAATATATGACAAGCAACTGACCAAAAGATTATTGCTTCTATTGTCAACAAATAAAAATAAAATAGAAGTAAACAGTCTATCAAAATAATTATTGCCTTTTTGACCAAGTAACTTTGACTTGATCTCTTCTTATCTTCTAGATACATAATCTTATCAAGAGATATATACCCATACATCCATGTATATCAATATGAACCCAAGATATCCATATTCTAACATTTACAAACCAATTGCGTTTTAAACCAGTTTTTTACACTTGTTGTGTCACAACAAAACAGTTAATTCTGAAACAAGCCATCAAACTAGAATCATAGAGATGAAATTAAGGAGAAGCCAACATAATGAATCGAGAGGGAGAAAAACCATAAAGGCACGAAGAAAGAAAGTACCTGCTATTTAGTGAGAGTGATGAAATGCACGAGTCTTCCTAGGGATCAATGCAGCTTGCTGCTTCAACGATAATGATGTCGAAAACACCAACACAGTAGACTAATGAACAGCTGATAACAAAAAATAGGTTAAGAGAATTAGCCAACTCAGCTTTTTTATTTATCAGTTTCTTCTTTCTTTTCTTTTTTTTGATGGCAAAGATTACCACGATTTCACTTTGGTTGTGAACAAAATGCAAATGCCATTGATATCTCAGTAAGAATTATGTACAGCATTTTGTAAATAATTTCAGAAACCAAAGGAAATAACAACAAAAAAAGGTAGATGAAAACATTAATACACCACTGTAAGAATCAGCTCTCAATTCACATTATAAATGAACACATTTTACTTCTTAAATTGCCGGAATATAAATAAATAAGTCAACTAACAGGAAACTGAAAGTCATATAAAACTTATAACTATGAATATTATTTTGAATTCTTTAATTCAATTTTGCCAATAAAAGAAAAAGCATCCACTTGATCAAGCCAGGAACCAAACTGCACAAAATTTTCAACCTAACCTTCAGTATCTCCCTTTCAATATACTAGAAACCCAAGAACGCACACATAGATAGAGGAAGTTCATGCAAAATAAAGATGCAAAATAAAGCCACAAAAATCTGAGCGACAAAATCCCCCAAACACCAGAGAATTCCGCAACAAAAATCCTTACAAAAATACAGGAAATGATGCCCCCAAAAAAAAACAGACTTCAAACCAAATAAAGTCCCCAAAAAACCCACAATAAGCGCCCCGAAATACCACATTAAACACAAGAAGTAGAAAGTACAACACAGAGCTGAGTTCAGATACAGGAAATCGGATATGGATCTAATGCTCTCCAAAAAACAAAGTTAAAACAATAACATTGCATACATGTAGATTGAGCCTCTAAAGATTGAACTGCGTTGTGCACGATATGGATCTCACTTGTTGTAGCAGGGTGCTCTAGAGAGAGGATGGAAGAGAGCTGGGTGCCCTAGAGAGTGGAGGTGCTCTAGAGAGAGAGAGAAAAAGGAGGGGAGAGAGAGGGAAAAGCACTGAGGACTTGGCGTTCACAGACGGGCGAACACTGCAGCGAGCTGCCACCGAAACTTCTTTGACAGGGCCAAATAATGTAGGATTTCGCCATAACAAACGCGCGAAAGTATACGCAGTGTACTGCAATTTTCGGACATAATTTTTCGTCTCTCAAAGTTGCCAAACTTCTTTACAAGGTACCATCGTTTTAGAAACCCGTATTGGTGGGATGGATTATCTCACCCATAAATTCGTATTCCATTGCTGGATTAGCAATTTGGGTCTGATCTACATCGGCCTAAATCAATGATTTTAACCTCTCTTTTTTTCACTTTTTTTTTTATTCTTTAGTCTACTTGTTATTTAGGGAAAATTACGTACATATTTGTTATAATTTGTGTTATTACAAAACTAACGAGTAGTTTATGTTGTTATCTATCAGTCCGTTTATTTCATGTCATAAAGAAAAAATTTAAAAAAAGAAGATAATTTTACTTTTTTTTGGTTGTTGAACAATCGAATTCCATGAATTCTCAGTTGTTCAACCACTAAACTTTCAGTTTTTGGAAAAGGGAAAATTCAAAATTTTCGGTTGTTGAAGAACCAAAAATTTAAAATTTTGAATTCTTTAAGGACGGAAATTATTTTTGTCTTTCGTAGGTCATCTGCGTATTCTCTCTATCGGCTAATCAATTTTTTTAAATTCAACTTTTGAATAACGTCCTCTACGTACTCTCTCCCTATCCACTAATTAAATTTTTTTTAAATTCAATGGAATTCTCTCTTTACCCTTTTCCCTATGTTTATCTATTTTCTTTCTATCCATGATTTAAACTCTTCCCTATCTTTATCTATTTTTTCTATACATCACATTAAACTCTTCCCAATATTTATCGATTCTCTCTATTCCATGTTTATCGATTCTGTTTGTTTCTCTTACAAATTGAAAGATATCATTGTATATTAGACATTGTAGAGAGAGAATGGATAAACATATAGTTGATTAGTCATTATAGAGAGAATTGATAAGCATAGATAAGAGTTTAAACCCAGATATCTTCCTATGTTTATCCATTCTCTCTAAGTTATAAACTATTCCCTATGTTTATCTATTCTTCTCTTTGTTCTAGTCACAAATCAATGATCGTCACGGTAGATTAGTCATTGTAGAGAGAGAATAGATGAACTGAAATTTTCAATTATTCAATGACCAAAAATTTTGAATTTTTAGTTTTTTAAAAACCGAAATTGGCTTGATTTCTGTTGCTTAACAACTGAAAAAAGGTAAATTTTTTTTTTTTTAAATTCGTTATGACATGAAAAAAATAGACAGATATGTAATAACAAAAGCTATTCGGTAGTTTTGTAATACTGCAAACTATAATACGTAATTTTCCCTATTATTTATTTAGCATTGTTCTTAGCATTTTTATATTCTCAAAAGTTTTTATCATTTCTATTACATTGCCTAGCTTTATGACATGGTCGTTTTTTTCTAATGGCCTTCTGAACTTCATCACTCCACCGTCAAGTTTTTTATTGGAATTTATCTTCTTTACGGTTTCTCCTTAAACTTCAGTTTCCACTTTTTTAATACAGCCAGCCATCTCATTCTACATAACATTGACTTCATGTTTAGAGTTTCATTTTCTTTCTTTAACTAATTTATCCCTGAATAAATCTATCTTTTAATTATTTAAATAAAATGTTTATATAAGGTCGCAACCTTAAAATATAGAATTAAAGATGCGACTCAAAAATCTATTGGAAAATGTTTTTTTTTTTGTTGAAAAACCTTCTAATTGATCATCTCGGAATCGATATGTATGAATATGAAAAACACTAAAGATTTTGAGTCCATAAATAGTGCATTTTGCAACACGTTATTTAGACCATCCATTCTCATATGTTTATAGATCTGCTTGATTTTAATTATATTTGGAGTTAAACATTTTATAATTAGATATGAAAATAGATTTTCAGATGATCTTAACAATTTTTTACACCAAAATTACATGTTATGATAAAATTTGGAAATGCGCCATTATTGGATTGTTTAAGGTTGCAACCTTATAGAAACTACACCCATATATATAATTATATAATTATTTTTTATTTTAGAAATATATTTTTTGAATTGGTGATTTGGACTCATCGAGATCAATGATCTGCTAATACGACAAGATATGTAGGTTAGATACTCCAACTCCATCCTACCGATCCGGGGTTTGAAACACTATGTTTAAGCCGTGACACTATGCCGGGAATTCCAGCTTAAGTATTCCATAATTTTTTGTCTCGGACGTTGAAAGTTTTAGTTGCCAAAGTAAGAGTTATGCGTGTTTACTTGGAGCGTGTTTGTTTTATGAAAGACAAGGCTTCTCGGAGATGCAGTTCTACAACTGTAAGGGCGTGCTTGATTTCTGGAAGATACAGTTTTGAAAACTAAGTCTTCTATGGAAGTAGATAACTCAAGTTCTATGATTCCCCATACAACTTTTATTTTCACTTTTTAACCGTAAATATAAGGCAGGTAGATACCACAGTATCTACTTTAGTGTAACACTTGTTCATTATCAAACAAATAAGTGCTACATTACTGGAAGATGCGGTTTCCAAAGCTGTCTTTCAAAAATCAAAGACTCCACGAAACTTCTTGCATTTGCTATTCATAAATGCGATTCTGATTTAGAATCTATTGACTCTAGTAGACTTCAAAACATTGTTAAATTACACATATTTGCAACATTTTGCCTCTTCTACCATCAAATTCGCCATTATATGAAAAAATAGAGCACTTCGAATCACATGTGGAGCTCAACTTCACATAGGGTTTTGAGAGACCTATAGGTAAGAGTTCTCTCACAAATTAGATATGTATATACAAGGTGCCAACTTTGAAGTTCAAATAATCAAAGTAAGACTTATATTTAAATTCTGCTTGAGGATGTGATTTCAGACTCTAAAGTCTGAAACCGGTATGAAACTATATTTTCATTCTTAATTATAATTTTTTAAATATAAAAAAATTACGCATATTGACTATACTTACAAACACTTGAAAAACTTGAAATAGACGGTCTAGATAATGTACTATAGAATGCATTATTTTAAGAAAATAATGTGAGTTTTTTTTTAATATATCTGTAGTATATTTCATTGAAATTGCAATATCTATTGGATTCATGACTTGCATATCAACTATAGTGCAATTAATGAAACTAAAAAAAAAATAGATAGAGTAAACAGAAGAAAGAATTGAGATATATTTTCATCCTAAAGGAAAAATAACAATTAAAGGGTAGAATAGCCTTATAAATTCATTAAAAATAAAAAATGTTACCTTTTCTAATTCCACTTTATATCTTTTAAAAGTATAATAAAAATTTAATAAATTTCCATGCTTATTATTTACAGCAGCAAACAAGTAGAGGTATTTCAGTGTGAGCGGACCAATCGGTAAAGATATCAATATGATTCAAAATCAACAAGATGGAACTCGCGTTTTGTTTTAGGGTATTGTATATAATGAGACAATTTATCTTTTATACAAAGTGGTCACAATTACTTACAGCTATTCGATGTGAAATTTGATGGCTTGGATATGTCCCAAAGGTCTAGAAAATTTATTTTGAAGTTTGAGCTTGGTCAATGGAATAATTGCAGCCACCCAATTTCACATCCAATTATCAAGATTAATGAGACCACCTTGTACCAAAGGTAAATCGTCTCATTTTATGCTTACCTTTTTTATTTTTGTCCCTATTATTAAAAATTCAAATATTTTATTATTTTCTCATGCTTCTCTAAGGTTTGTGTTCCTTATCAGATAAGTTATAAAAATGATGGTATACAATGAGACCATTGGACAACTTCTCTCTTCCATCCCTCATCCCTCAAGATCGGAACTGTCTGTTCTTCCCCTTTTGGATCTGTTGAACCAACCCCTACACATTCGGATAGAAGCTGGCATCGACAGGAGAGGCTCAATCCTTCAAACGTTATTCATCTTTCTTCTAAGGGATGGGATCGGTGGTTCTACTCCCCTTCAACAGCACACGTGGCATCGACTGCTTTCTCCCCTTGGGGTGGAAGGGCGATCGAATCGATACCAGACTCAAGAGATGGTGGTGGCGACCGTATCAATACCTTTGATCCATGAAGGTCACAATTATAAATAACCATCCGATATAAATTCTAATAGCTTGGATGTGTTGCATAGTTTGAGAAAAATTATTTTGAAGTTTGTGCTTGGTCAATGGATTAGATGCAAACATCCAAGTTCACATCCAATGGACTACCTTGTATCAACAGTAAATGATCCTATTGACATTTGTTTGTTGAGTTTTCCAATCCAAAATCAACGCAATTTTATCATCTAAGAAGTACATTGGTGAAATAAGAGAAGAACTTCATAATTGATTTAACCAGTGTATAAGAATAGCAATTCGGGTCGAGAGTCAATGGGTACCACCCTGATTCCCAAATCCCAATCAAAACATGAGGGATCCAATAGATTCTATTAGGGAATTGGGCGATCTACCATTTATATATCTAATTATTTTTTCTCCTTTTTTTAAATTCTTTGGACAATCAATATCCCCAATATGGATTGATTTTCCTGAAGGCCGCTTCATCCGGTCTAAGTATGTCAAATTTGCTATAAAGCCTTTGGATTTTAGGCCTAGACCGAAGCGAAGTGAAACCTCGTGCCGTTATTTCGGTTAGATCTAGGTCTGATTCGGGCTGATTTGATAGAAGTTTCCGCCGAAAGAAATATCTATAAAAGGTATTTTTTTTTTGAATTTCTTTTTTCAAATTTTTTATTTAAATATCTAATTTATTTATATTAAATTCAAAAATCTAAATTATTTACCAAATTGCTTCATTTTTTTTTTTTGTCTTACAAAACTTCTTAGCGAATCTAACAAACATTAATCCCAGGGCTTTAAAACACTGAATTTGACAAAACTCTACTTTGAGGTCAGTTTGCCCTATGATTGATGCATTTGATCATGGGGCTTTGATAGCGAGGCCCAAACTATATATGTGGATAAAATCCTAAGCAAAAGCATGAAAACTTACACGACATGTGCTCCTTTCGGTTTCCTTCCACCATTTTTGGATGTTCCTCTGGGAATGGCATCTTCGTAATCTCTGTCTCTACACGCTCATTCTCTCCCCCCGCTCAGGGGCTCTTTCTCTCTCTTAACACGCCCCTTTTCCTCATTAGTTTTTTTTTTTTTTTTTCAGCTTCCGGGTGGTGCAGAGGAGCCTAATAGCAGCGCAAAACTCCCTTTGCCTTGCCACAAATGGCGCCTTCTTATTTCTTACGATGGCACCAAATTTTCAGGTTTTCTCTCTCTCTATCTCGTTTTTTCTCTTATTTTTGCTTTCCATATTTGATTTCAGTCGACTCCAATCTACAAGTTGATATTCTTACTGAACACAATGTTACAGCTTTTTCTTTATCTGCTTTTATATCCATGGATATTTCAGTGTTTGTTTTATAATTGACTAATGGATATTTCAGTGTTTATCACATAATTTTAGGGGAATGATTGCCCTAGTTATGAAAGTGGAATTTTCGGTTATGGAAATACACAGGTTGGAGGGGAATGGGTATCAATTGATATGAATATTCCTTATTCATGTATTTAGTTTATTATGCTGGGCGACGCATTGCTATATGCCATGGAATTTCATTTGAGCTTGGAGAAAGCATGAATCAATGTGATTTCAACTACTCCCCGAAATCACTAATTCTGCTACAATGATATTTAGAATCATACATTTTGTTAATAGGTGCAGATGATTCCATTTCTGTGAATGACCCACCTGATCAAATCGCCCAATTCAACAAAATTTGCTCACTTAAAGCTGTCTATTCAACAAAGGAGCAGTTTTAAACGAGTTTTATCATATGCACCTAGTGCTGCAAAATGCAAACAATTTCTACATTAGGGTTCAAATTTCAGCAAAGTAATACCATTTCTATCTAAAAAACGGAAATTGGGTTTGGTCAGTTAATTTTGCAGGCCTTGAACTCGTCTGGAAATCACTAATGTACCAAGAGGTGAACTTGGAAAAAGGTCCTACCTTTCTCAATTGAAATAAATGCTATTGAATTTCCTACCTTTTGTCAATTGGAATAAATGCTATTGAAATTAGACTAGGGGCCACCCTTTGCACCGGATTGTTTACTGGTAAAACCCAATTTTAACCAAATTTTGGAGTTGGATCAGAGCAGCTAATAATATGGGCAGATTTCTGGTAGCTACTTGGTTTTGGTCCAACAAGGTAGTCGTGCATAATAATAAAAAGATCAGATTGGTATTTTCACACCTGGATTTTTCATTTCTCCCATGTGGCTCTGATGCCACAAAATTCGGATCGAAGATTTTCAATTGATCCAAATGGTTCTGATGCCACAAAATTAGCATGAAAAAGTTTTGATCCTAATCAGAACTAGTAAAAGCAAAGTGATGCCAAAAATTTTAGTAGCCTTGGTAAAAATGATATTTTTGGCTTTGTCAAGCCAGCTACATATGTACTGGTTTGACTCTGTGAACAATGTCGTGAGAGATGTAAAAATTCATTCATAACTCTCTCCCTCCCCTCCCCCCCCCCCACCCCCACGGTGGTCTCTCTCTCTGTGGGTAGTTCAGTTGTAGGAGGATTCGAACTAGTGCAGTGCTGCAATCATCAACTAGTAACTGTAACTGTTCAAGCCCAAAACCGATTCCCACCTCTCTCTCTCTCTCGTAAAAATCTTTTTTGGATTCATGAAGTTTCCAAACAATTCGCGTATCTCTTTATGGCATGTTTTTTGAATCTTATCTCTTTATGGCATGTTATTGCTGTTTGTTAATTTACTCATGCATAGTACACAAATGTGCAAGCTGTGCTTCCTATTGCTTCTAACTCCAGAGTAAAAACAGTTGCTTAATGTTTTGAGCTCTCATTGCATAGATTCTTCTTGTATATTTCTCTTTTTTTCCTCTCTCATGTATTGGTTTTTATATTTTAGGATGGCAATATCAGCGGTGGCCACCAACTATCCAGTGTGCCATCGAAAAGGCTCTGATGGTGGCCACAAAGCTAGAAAGGCATGAACTTTGTTTGGTGGGTGCAAGCCGGACTGATACAGGTGTTCATGCTTGGGGGCAGGTTGGCCTTTTACCAAGCTAAGCAGGATAGTTGTTATAGTCTTTTTCCAGAGTGAGGAATCAGCATTTTCTCCATAAATTATTTTATATCTTTACTTATACCAAAGTTTTTCTGACTAGAAATGTTTTCTCCCGAGATCAATGTGTGGTTGGTTGGCCTTTTATTCTGATATCTTTTGGAAATCCCTGGAAATACTATTTTTAAACCAACCCTTCTATCCATCACGCAAATTTATATAACTCCAAATTTTAAGGGTTTTCTTAGTTTTCGGTTGGAATTATATGTCCTTCATCCCTTAATCCAAGGGTCACATTTGCTGTTTTTTTGTAACGAATTCTCCACTATTCCTAGAATACCTTTGTTTTGATTGACTTAGAAAAGTGTCGCTACCTGCTCCATTCGTGTTCTTATTTTCAAGTTTGTCTATATTCTTGATTTTGTGAGCCATCTTGATCTCAATCTCTTGTTTGAAAACCATACGAAAAGAAATTGGTGTTCTTCTATATAATGTATAGAAGAATGTGATGGAGAAGATGCAAAATATATTATTAAATGTTTGTGTTGAATTGGTTTTAAATATCGAAATAACTTCTCATGATTGCTGGAATTTGTGCTGGAAATTTGTAAAACCAGTTAAAGCTTAAGCATATAGGTTATCTGTTTGCGTATGGCTCTTTTTTAGTAAGATTTATTCATTTTAATGTGCCATTTTTAAATTATGCTTCTTATGGATATAGGGAAGTGATTTTCGATGACATCCTTTTGCAACCGGTTATGGGAGTCTTTTCTTTCCGTTTGGTATTTTCAGGTGGCACAGTTTGTAACACCTTTCTCCTATGATAACCTTGAAAATCTACATGCAGCAGTAAATGGTCTGCTTCCATCAGAAATCAGGGTGAGGGAGATCAGTGCGGCAAGGCCTGAATTTCATGCTCGTTTCTCCTCAGAGAGCAAGGTTTATTGCTACAAGATATACAACAATCCAGTCATGGACCCTTTCCAGAGTCTCTATGCATACCATGTCCCTCACAGGCTCAATGTTACAGTCATGAGAGAAGCTGCAAAGAATTTTGTTGGGAAGCACGACTTCACTTCTTTCTCAAATCATTCACGTGGTGATAGAGTGGTGAATCCTGTGAAAGAAATTTTCCAATTTAAAGTCATAGAGATGGTTAGAATGAAGTTTTGAACCTTTTCTTTCTGAATTTGATGAAACCCTGATGTTAGTAACTTTCTCTTGAACTTCATTGCTCTTGTTTTTGGCTTATTTTTGTAGCTACATCTTAAATGACTTATTGTTGTTAGCATTTTTGGGTCTTTTGGATGACCAATCTTTCTATACCAGCAATGGCAGTTATATGTCTCAAAAATCAAGAAAGTTGGACAAGTAAAATCCTGATAAACAATTTGTCAAAATTATCACAGGTACAGAGAAAAATGCAGATAAAGGGATGCTATCGTAGTGGTAGATAATGATTGTTTTAGATCATTTGCATAACATAAATTTTACATGGTTAGCTTCATTTACACATAAAATCAGAGAGATTTGTGATTTATAATATTTTTTTTCATAAAAAAGATGATCCAGGATACTAGCAAGTCTATGAGCTGAAGCATGGGATTTATTTAGTTCTAATTTTCGTCCTCGTAACTCACAAAAGGATAAATTTTAAAAATCATTGCAAATGCAATACCAATGAGTAAATTGTTTTCTAATGCAACATGACTATTGCATAAAGAGACCACCACCAAAGTCCAGGAAAACCATTCCAGAGATGGATTAACCTAGAATATGTATGGAAGTATCGGTACTGCTTTACTAATAAAAAATATAGGTTCATTGACAAAGTTTGTTAACTTATTGTTATACTTGTCCAGGGTGCTCTTTTGCAACTTGAGGTTGAGGGTTCAGGGTTCTTATACAGACAAGTCAGGAACATGGTAAAGCATTTACTGATGATTATTATTACTGTTATATCATTATTATTATTGTTAATTAATTTTTCTACTTTTTAATATGCACACTAAACAATAGGCGAATACAAAACACAGAAACAATGGTAAAAAGAGCAAAATTATGGGATGTCTACTGGCCCAAAAAAGAAAGAAAACTATGTGATGTTCAACAGAATACAATGCTAATCTAGATCTGTAAATCTTGCATGACAATACACCATCCAAACATACAGAGTGAACAAATGCCCCATTCCACGTCATACTTAGAAGCAGTTAAGAAATAGTTCAGCATATACTCTTCATATTTCATGTTCCTTCTTCATATATGATCTGTATGTAGTGTGAGTTGGCATGTAATACCATATATGAATTATGAATGTTTTATCTGACTATTGAGATTGACTCCTATATAAATACATGTCCTCTAGAATATTCGTGAGCGTACAAGGGATAACGTGACCAAGATATCCATGTATGTAGAAATGGATAGGAAAAAGAAAAATGATCAAGCTGTCATAACTGATAATAAGCATTGGAAAACGTTAATGCCAGTGCGAGGCTCTAGACAATCAATTTAGGGCGCACGTCAAAATTTATTAGAAGAGGTTGTTTTGATGCGCAAATATCCTCAAATTGGTCATCTCGATCTCAAGATGCATGGACATGAGAAAAAATTGGATTTCAAGTTTTGGAAATAGTATCTTGTAATGCATTTTGGACCGTTAATTTTCAAGATTTTCAAGTTTTCACAGATCTGCTCGATCTACACTAATTTTGAAGCTTTAAATTTTATAATTAAAGATGAAAATATATTTTAAGGCTATTGCAAAGATTTTCGGTATTGAAACCGCATTTCTCGACACTATTTTTTACTTTGATTGTTTATAGCCTCGGCTTTATACAAACCGCACCCATAAGCATTAGGCTCTGAACTGTGACACAATTAAAGAAAGCTATCAAATCAACTATTGAATATACATATGTTAATAAAATTTCAAAAGAAGAAATTTTTTGAATATGATTGATAAGAGACTTTTTTTAAAATGATAAATTTATAGATCTCAACTTAGTGACAAAGTCGTTTAAGTGATCTGACTAACTCTATGAGTTACAAATCATAGTGAGCTGGTGTTTTAGCGCTGGTTTCCATTTTATTTTTGCCGAGCTTCTAGTTTTTCTGTGCTAAATGCTTTAGTTCCTAGTATTAACTAACAAGCTCGTATTCTGGTTCTTTTGCAGGTCGCACTGCTGCTTCAAATTGGAAGGGAAGCACTTCCTGCTGATATTGTGCCTGCGATATTAGCCTGTAGGGATCGTAAAGCACTTGCAAAAGTAACTTTAATTACCCCACCCCATGGACTCTGTCTCATGTTTATCAAGTACAATAAAGAACTTCTCCAACCTCCACTAGGTGCCCCTCCTACTAGTTTTGGTCGGCTTCGTCAAGTGAGTAAATGTAAGCTTCCATTCTATTGAGGGTAGAGACATAATGTACTGCATGTGTACGAAATTTTGGCTTCCTGTAATATTATTATGGAAATTTTTTTATGACAAATTAGTAGCTGCTTCTTTAACGAAATCTGAGATTCATATATAAGAACCCGTGCATGCTTTGGGTGCAATTCCTTCTTGGCTTGTTTTTATTCAGATCCTGCATTTCAAAGTTTTCGATATTGTAAAGTCTTATGTTTCATATCGTATTTAAGCACATCTTTCAGATGTTTCATTGGGTCATCTTGTTTTCTCTGAGGAGTTACTAGTCGACAGGGCACATACCTCTTCCTTTATTCTTTTTTACTCTGATCAATAAAATTTGCATTTGTTTCCCACCTTAAGAAATTACCAAACCAAAACCTTGATTCTTTTAAATGAAACCAACCATGCTAGGTGGTATAAAGTAACAGAAATAACAACGCTTTGCTTACTTTTGCATGCTCCCTGAGTTTAGCAACATGGCAGATACATGATATGTGTTCAGCTTCTCTTCTTGTAACACTACCAATGTGGTTGAGAAAACTTTTCTGGCCTGAAGAACCTCAATGGCTTCTTGTTAACTGTTACACAAGCACATTGCTTCTAAATTTAGCATATCTCTGCTAAAATTTTGGCAAATCAAGGATAATAGAGACTCATCAAAGTGCTGCTTTAGCAGCTTCTTGTTACTGTAACCCAGGTGCAGGGCATCCTATAAATTTAGCAGATTCTCTGCTAAAAATTACATAAATTTAAGCTGCAAGGAGAATTAGAGAAGATAGAAATGAAAGAAAAAGAATCAGATATTAATCAGAGGGAATAAATATATCAAAATCACTTAGTGTCCACTCTGCAACTTGTTCATTGTCCGTGATGAACATTTCTGTTCCTACATCAATGGATGGCCATTCACGTTTTGCAGGTGGAGTACCAGGATCCTGAAACAAAGAAAAGGAATATATTTTATCAAAAAAATTGGGAAAAGGAGAATAAAAAAGCAAGAGTTTCTTAACCCAGGATCAAATGATAAAAACACCAAGAAGTGAGTGTGTCAGTCCTGATACATCTAACATCCACTCATTATTTATCTGAGTATGCATTTTTGTTTTAAATAAGATGATTATAACCTTGATAATCATTCTGAAATAACAAACTCTGTTTTATTTTCTCAGAATTGGATTCAACATAAGAAAACCCAAGTTACCCATGCTTTATTTTGCACAATGTTTTTATTTTTAGTCTTCTTTGACAACCGTGTAATGTTCTGATATGTTTGAGTTGAATTTTCTTCTGTTTTCATGTTTGCATTTAATTTTGGTACTGCAGAGAGTTAACCGTACGGTTCACACAGGGACACTCATTCCCCCTCTGACCCAACTAATGGCATTGCTAAATACTCCTCTCACAACCTCTCAGACTGCTGCCAATGGCAGAGTCCCATACTTTAGTAATCTCTGTACAGCGCTCTCTCTCTCTCTCTCCTCCCCCTCTACATTGGTAGGGGTGCTGCTACTTATATATTGTAGATGGAGGCGCTGTCATGCACAGATTGAAATCTCTCGCAGGAACAAGATCTGCAGCCTCACGTTGCTTTGACCAAAATTTGCACATAAATAGTAAAGAATAAATTTTAAAAGGTGAATTTATGACATGCTCATATGGGAACCAAATATGCACTTACCCCCTTGGACTAAAGGCCTAATAAGAGCAGGAAATTTTATCAAAATGCACAATAAGAGATAAATTATGTAATATTTTATTATATTTTTTGATTTAATTTCAAAATACCCCTCAAAATACATATGACCTTGGAACAGATGATAAAGGGTAAACTGTTAAATTGTTGGAAAGTTTGGCGTATTTCGTAAAGTTCCCACTAGTACTTCCTTAAAACATGAAGTTTTGGGATCCAACTAGAATCTCACATGAAAGAATAATTGAATTTTGAACTCTTGAATGTTTAGATTAGAAGGTACAGAATTGAATGTTCTTTATTTAATCTTTAAGGCAAGAAAACCCAGTACTCAATATTCTCCATAAATAGTGTATAAGGTCACAATCATCTTGTCGAAGTCGAAAGCATACGGCAGGGGACTTTTAACAAAGTTTGAGATTGACTTGTTTTTTTTTATTTTGAGCGCATTAAATAATACATTTTGAGCCCAATACTCTTACAATCTTACGTATGGAAGTGACTCTGACCTTTTCTCTACCACAAGTAACAGTCGTTTGTTATACTTTCCCCAAAGTAAAACCTGAGGCTAAATCTTAGAAACTAAAGGAGACCCACTGCTCTTTTTGCAGTATGTAAAATGCCAACCTCACCTAGAGAGAGAACAAAAAAAATCAACAGTTCTAGGAGAGAACCCAACCACAGAACAGAGAGAAATGACAGGACCAAAAGAAAGAGCAATCAAAATTTTGGAGAGAGAAAACCAACCAGACGGACAGAGAGAGAAACGGAGAGAAAAAACCAACCAGATGGAACCAAGACAGAAACCAATCAAAATTTTTATGAGAGAACCAACCAGATGGAAACCAAACAATTTTCTTAGAGAGAGAAAACCAACCTGATAGAAATACAGCCTACTTGAAAGCCCAAACAATTTTCTTAGAGAGAGAAAACCAACCTGATAGAAATACAGCCTACTTGAAAGCCCGCCAACGTCAAGCACCCATGTCCTTGAATCACCAACCCACCCTTCTCCTCGCTTTGATGGATAACCATACTCTGCCCAAACAGGGTGAGGAAGTATTTGAACAAGCTCTTGAGCCTGTGGATTACTGTAAGGATCACAGGTACTCGAAGGTTGTTCGAGATGCTCTGCATTTCCCGGTGAACAGTAATAGTGGTAGGCGGAGTATGGAAAATGTTGTGTATCATTCCTAAATATTTTGGCGTTGTTGGGGAGTATGTGAAATGGTGGGCATGCACCGAGGTTAGTTGGACTACACCATGCTGGTGTTTCAGGGTTGAGTATCATTTCGGAGTACCGAGTTACGTCGGTCGTGGGGTCGCCATCACATGGTGCTCCATTGTTTTTCCAGCAACTGCCCATGTCGAGTAGGTAGAATTGGCTCTTTGGGCCACCCCCTTGCTTCACGTCGAGGGTGAGCCTTACTTTGAAGTTGGGTGATTCAGGTATCTGCAAAACCAAGGAACGAATCTGAATTGGCTAGAGAGAGAGAGAGAGAATGCTCTGATTCCATTAATGAGTAGAGAAAAACCATTGTCCAACTAACTCAGAGAGAGAAAGAGATTCCAATAGAAAAATCGAGGATCATGTTTCACTAGAGAGAGAGAGAGAGAGATTCCAAAGAAAAATCGACGATCATGTTTCACTAGAGAGAGAGATTCCAAAAGAAAAATCCAGGATCAATGTCTCACGAGAGAGAGAGAGAGATACTCTTGCAAAAGAAAAATCCAGGATCATGTCTCACTAACAATAATGATTCAATAAAAAGTAGAATCCAAAAAACCCACTAAGAGAGAGAGAGAGAGAGAGAGGTGGATTTCAAAGTAAAGTCGCCGTTTTATTCTATCAAGTCAGACATCAATCATGTTAGACTTTCTTCAATCTTTAAAAAAAAAAAAAACACATTATGCAACTAACTCCGGAGGAGAGAGAGTCAAATTCAAATGGTATTTTTGAAGGGAAGAGAGAGACTCCTACAACTGGAATGTGCATGTGGGCGCATCTGTATGAGAGAGAAAGAGAGTCTAGAATTAGAATATGGTCATGAGAGAGAGAGATAGAGTCCTAGAATTAGATTATGGTGATGAGAGAGAGAGAGTCCTAGAATTAGAATATGCTAATGAGAGAGAGAGAGAGAGACTCCTATAATTGGAATGGTATTTAAGAATTGAGGACATGACCATAAAATATCATTTGCGTTTAGTGTTTACTAAAACTAGTTTTGAGCGAAGCTCGCCCATTTACACATAAACAAAAGAACCAGCTGCAATATTATTGTCCATGGTCCATAACTAACCATGAGAGAGAAAATGAAGTTTCTCACACTTACAGTCTTAAGCATCCCTCTGGTTTCATAATGGTAGCCACCAGAGAATCCTTTAGTAGCATCAGCTCTGAGATAAAGCATCAGCCATGGATATTTCTTTGAAGTCTTCAATCTGTGCTTAAAAGCCCAACTCCCAACTCCAATCTTCTTCTCCCAAATTACCTCAAAAAATGAAATACCTTTAAACCCATCTCCAAGATTTGCATCTAAATCATAACTCCCATTAAAACTCCCCCTTAAGCTCATATCCTCTGATAAACTGGTGTATTCATGGTTCAGTAATGGCTGGTTCATGCATCCATGGCCAAAGCAGGGGAACCTTCCTGGTTGATCAAAAGGCCCAACTTTTTTGCCATTTTGCGGGCATAAACCTGATTTAGTGTCAAAGTTTCCATTTTTTAGCATCACCATCCAAAACTGCCATGGATTTGGGGTGTCTGCAACTTCACATTTTGAGCCCAAATAGAGCTCTTTCTCTACTGCATAGAGGTCAGTATTGTTCATGGCCTTGTTACTTGCGCCCTCAAATGGGCCTCCAACGCTTAGTTTATTATCAGCTTCTGTCACCTTATGAAGCAATGAAGGTCCTGGGTTTGTGTGAAATAGGGGATGAACCAGTTAAAGACAGAAAACAGGGGACCAATTAAATTTAGAAAAAAAGGGGAACTATATATATCTTTCCTTCAATTAATGTTGCTTTTCTCTTACAGAACATATTAATGTTTATCTTTTGATTATTGCTCATTGTCCTTGAGAAAGGACCAAGGAACAGATAACAAACCAAAATCAAAAGGAGGTTAGGCAATAAAAAACCAAGCTTCTTCTGTATTTTCTGTGATTTGTATGCAATGGTGTGTAAGAAATGACAAGGGAAAGTAGTATGGGAAAATGGAACAAAAATACCAACTTTGTAGCAGAGCTCAAATATAAGGATAGAGAGAGAAAGACGAAAATGAACAGAGAAAATGCAGCTTGGGTGTCTTCTCTATTTGGGTTTATTAGTTAACAAATAAATGTAAAATAAAAGCAAGAATGCTGATTCAATGTGTAGAAAATCATGCAAAAACAATAAAAATAATGAAACAAAAAAACCAATTCTCTCTCTGTCCATTTCCTGCAAAAAACAAGTCCAAGAGCAAATGGTGATCTCTTCTGTTATCTTTCAATAAGCATAGTGCTACAGAGAAAAGATGTGAGGCTTACTTTTAGAGAGAGAAGAGGTAAGACTCACTTTTAGAGAGAGAAGAGGCTGAGATATCAAAGCAATCAGCTGCTCTTGGGCTACCCATTTTGGGTGCTTCTTCACCCACTTCATTGCAAAAGTTCCATGCCTCAAGACCCAATCTCAGCCCATCTCTTGTCATGCCAGGGTCCCCAACTGCTGAAACATAACCCTTACCCAATTTTCTCTCTCCTCCTAAAACAGCTGTTTCTGTATCACATCTGGAGTGAGAAACCACTATCTTGAAGACAAGGAAAACTAAAATGACACAACTTTTCATGGCTGGGTCTTGAAGCTCTGTTTTTTTGAGGGAGAGAAAGTGGATGTTTTGGGGATATATATAAATGGAATTTTGAGGGTGGGTAGTAGGCTTTTTTCAGGGTAGTTAATTTGGAAGAAATCAGTATAAAAAATGAGCTAAACTTAAATTCAGAGAAACAGAGCTGGGGATTTATCTTCTCCTGCTATGAATGTTTCAATGAGTGGAACCAAAAAAGAGAAAAATAAAGATTTTTAAAAATAATAATAATTTTTTTAATCCAAGAATAACATTTAATGGCCTCTCTCACAAGATAAGTATCTCTGTTGCTAAGTTGGTTTGCATGTTAAAAGTCTTTATTTCGTCTGAAACAATGTAATAAAACTTGGCTCAGGCTCGCAGCTCGGTTCCCGCCGAGTAATTGGGGCGGGCGGGCGGGCGGGCGAGTTTGAGTGGACTTTGCCCGATTCATGTGGAACCTCAAAAAGAACCTTAAATAATAAATACAAAAATTTATTTAAAATAATAATAAATACTAAAGATAATCAATTGTATGCCTGCAGTCATTTATTATATACATGATAGAAAAATAATAGAAAAATAGAATATGAAAATTTTGATATATAGCTTCAAACAATTTATAAAAGGTAAAAAAAGAGCATATGACAAGATAAATAAATAAAAAATCACCATATAAAACATTAAAATTGTTCATAAACATGCTTATAAATTATTCACCAGTAATTTAGTAAAAACTATATAATTTTATATTTTTTTTTGCCGAATTTTATACGCGATAGGATTACGAGGCTGAGTTCCTCAACAGAGTCAGAGTCAATTTGGCCGAGTTTTAAAAACCCTAACTCAAATTTCTAACTTTTTTATTAAGTGGATTCCAGCTTTTGAGAAGCCCAGATCTCACAAAAAAGCCTAAAATTTTAAATGAATTTTAAGATTTCAATTTTCTATCCCTTTTTTTTTTTTCCATTTAATGAAATGTGGATCTCATTATTACAACGTGATGTCCGTAACTATTAACGCCATAGCAAGAAAAAGAGAGAGTAAAGGTACAAGTTGTTTGCGCGTGCGATTGACACATGTAACATCAAACGGTGGCAAACCTTGCGGCGTGATCTACGGTTGAAGATTTCCGATAATCATGGTTCACTAGAAATGCTTTTGGGGGCCATTTTGTAAATTAGAAAAGAGGTATTTTATAGTCCACTGATATCTTTTCTCACTAGATTTCCTAGCTTAAAGGCTTCTGCTTTATAAAAAATGATATCATTTATTTATTATTCAAGAAATGAGGAGTGTTTGGGCTTTTCTAATTTATTTTTTAAAGAAATGAGGAGGTGATGTATAGGTTTGATGCTAGTCACTTATTTAGTCCTCCCCGAATCTGATAGGTTATTTACCTCTCTAGCATTCATGAATGGTTAACACATTCATTATATTTTGATAAAAATATGTAATACAAGTCAGTAATATTATCGTCAGCTCACTCTCGATTTCCATACACATTATTGTATGGAGACCGCATTTGCACGTGGTGTTGTAGTTAGCTCATTGATAGCCTTCTGATCAAGATACAATGTAGTTAGCTCATTGATAGCCTTCTGATCAAGATACAATCATCTTGAGAATGTAAAAAGGTTTCCCCCTTTTGTTTTGCCCAGAGTTTAGAAACCCAGCGATCAAGGTCAAGGATCACCGATCAAGATTGAATTTGGTGAGTGGGCAATCTGGGTCCCTCAACATCCCCAAAAAAAAAAAATCCCCCAAATTTACATTTTCCTTATCATTTATTCACTGAGAATTAATTTTTCTAACTTACTCGAATCTCCAATCCGGCCAACCTGGTTGGTATAATGGGTGGGCGATCCAAAATTCGGTTCCACGTTTTAAGACACTAATTTTGCCTAAAGAAACTCCAGCAATTTCATTTATCTACCCCCCCTTTTTCCTTAAAAAAAAAAAAAAAAAAAGAAAAAGAAAAAGAAAAGAAAAGAGAAGAAGAAGAAAAGGAAAGGAAAAAAAACATGGAAAAAGGAAAAACAAAAATACACCAAAAACAAAAAAGAATAAATGAAAACAAACAAAAGAGAATTTGTAATGGCATGCATCGCATGTGACCAAAGTTTGGCAAGTCACCATTAACCAACTAGCAAAGTGAAAGGATATGGAAAGTTTAGCCAACCAAACCAATGTGAGGATTACGATGGTTCTTACTGGGGGGGGGGTTGGCCGCACAAAAGAAATCCCACCAAATTTGGAAGAGGCATCACTTCTAGAGCTTGACTTATTCTTGTTATAATCACGGCAAGGATATTTTTACTTATTAGAATGGTGATTTAACACTTATTAGGACAGCTATTGTTTGCATGTATGAGCAGTAAAAGAATTGGAAAATGGTTTGATTGGGCTGATCTCTATAAAAAAAAAAAAGAAAAAAAAAAGAGAGTAAATTCTCACCTCATAACTCGCAAAAAATTGCAAATCAAGCATTGGAAATACTTAACATTGATCATCTCGACTTGAACATTATGATTGTGAAAATAAATTAGGATTTCAAACTCTAAAAATAGTGTATATTATAACAAATTATCTAGTGCGTCTATTTTGCTTTAAAAATAAGTGTTCACAAATTTGCTTGATCCATACTATTTTTTGAGTTTCAACATTATTGTCAGCATTGGTAATTGATTTTACAGCCATCATAGAAATTTTCGTCGCAGAAAGTACTTTCTAGAAGAGGATTTGAAGTGAGGTTTTATTTTGTTTTTATAAAGCCTAGGCTTTATATAAACCTCATCCATAAAAATTTCAACTGTTCACTAAATTTCGGCCTTTCAAAAACCATTCATGGCTTCCAAGTAACGATCATTGGAGGGGTAGAGTTGTGCTGAGGTTATGATTTCTCCTGTTGGGATGTTTGGAAAAGTAGTTAGTATGAGTAAGAAAGAAGCAAGCTTCTCTCTCTCTATCTTTAGCTTCAAGTTTCATCTTTGCCACCCAAATTTATATTACCCTTTTTAACCAAAATTTTTCTACTCATTCAACTTTGGATAAAAACAAATGCTCTCTATTTTCATAGTAGTGGTTCTCTCTCTTTCTAATTGAAATTTGCCTTCTTACTAAAACTTTGGAGAAAAACAATCTCTCTCTCTCTCTCTAGTATGTACATAACCTAATGTTTGCATGATCAACAGATGAGCAATTGTTTAGTAATGGAGCGTAGATCATTTGAGTTGTCAACACTGCCTAAAGCATATGCAACTTCAATCTATAAATTGACTTCAAATTTTGGAGGGATTCAGCAAAGTGCATGCTGCTGAATATTTATGTAAATAATGTTCATGGCTATCTAACCAACTACGACAATGACAATGAGATGTCAAACCTAAATGCTCTACAAATTCAAATACCCACTCCCTTGGCATCAACTTCCCCACAAAGAACCCCCTTCTCTCTCTCTCTCTCTCTCTCATATACCCACTCCCCTTACGAACCACTCCTCTTGGACCTCTCTCTCTCTTCCCCATAAACCCCGCCCCCTCCTCATATACCCACTCCCCTAAAGTCAAGAACTACTCCTCTTGGACCTACCCCTCTCTATCTCTATCTCTCTCTCTCTCTCCTGGAAATCAAACCCCCTCTCTCACTCAGTGTTCGCAAAGTTCCCGAGTAAACCACTCAGCAATGTTACTCGGGCTCGGGGCCTTGTTGAGCCCGAGTTATTTTGAGTTGGGTGTCCAACTCGGGGATATTAAAAAAAATTCAAAAAATTAAATAAAAATCCTAAAAGATAAGAAATTTATTTGAGATATGTTTATTTATTTATTTATTTTCATTTTCTACCATTTTAACAAAAATTTAGAAAATATTTTGGCCATAAATACTTATTTTTACATTTTTCCAATTTTTTGGATTTATTTCAAAAATACCCCCAACCACAAGTCGATTTTTTAATATCTATTTTTTACTATTATTTAACCTTGACTATTACTTCATCTTACTTTAAACATACATTTCCTATTTTTTAGATTTCTTGTATTTTTTATAGTTTGTTTAATCTTTTTTTTTTTTTGTTGCTATAGTACCACTCAAGCTGAGTTACTCGGAGGTCCGAGTACTCAGATCGGGCATGGGCTGAGTGGTCACCTGAGTAGTGGTTTCCAGCACTGCTCTCTGTCTCTCTCTCATTGAAACAAAAGCCAACGAGAAAAAAGAAAGGGTTAGTTCTCTCTCTATAGGAAATAAGAAAGGGGTTCTCTCTCTCTCTCATTGACTCGAAGCCCGTACGACAATTAGCTCAAATAAACCTGTCCCATATAGAGCCATTAGTTGCATGTTCCAATTACCCTCATACCTAAAAGAAAAAATGTGTTGGAAAAATGGCAAGCCTTCATTATATGTTTGGTGCCAGGTAACATTGTAGGCCTTCACATGTCTTTGTAAGCTCCATGTACCACTTCATATATTTATTTCTCCACCTTTTTATTTTCAACTTTGTTTTAATGCTTTAAAAAGTATAGAACCAAAAATAGTACCATACAATTTTGATGAACATAGGGACCACCTTACTTTCATGATATGATAAAACTCTGGGTCATAATCACTTCGACTCCAGAAGATCAATGGCATAATGATCGCCAAAGAGAGAGATTACACAGAACAAAAGAGAGAAATATTTCCCTCTTTCTCAACCTTCTTTAGTCTACTGTTCTACAATAAATAATTACCTTCATGATCATGATATAATGATTAAAAATAAAAACAAGTTTTTCATTCATCTTTGAAACCAATGGGCTAGCTTTACAAAGCAAATTTGCTCCATAATGGTTTCCTAGTATACAAAAATTTTATCAAGATTTTATGTACATCTCGCGGAAATTTGAATTTTGAAGCCCTCTTTTCAATGCCAGATATCTTGCTAATTTATCTTGGTTGATGCAAGTACAACCGAATTGTATAACTTCATCAGCAGCATGAGAGGCCTGAACCATTTGGTTCTTTTGGGTGCTCAATCCCGACCTCTCAAGAGAGCATTGAGAGTTATCTTCCCTGAATTTTCAGTGTCGAGCCTGTCGAACTGGTTGCATATCTGCAAGATATCCTTCTCTGCAACTTTCCCCATCTCTTTCAGCTTGTAAATTACATACTCAGCTTTGCTGCGAAAAATAGGAAAGACTAACTAACCATAAAATACTTGAAAAGCAGAGGGTGATTGAACGATTCTATGGGGGGAGAGAGAGAGAGAGAGAGAGAGAGAGAGAGAGAGATTTGACATTTTACAGAATATCATAAGTGGATGCCGGCTAACGCTTAGCTATCAATCTAAGAGCAAATATCCTATTATATTCATGGGTCTCTTAACTCATAGCCCATGACCTCCTGAAAATACATGGTACAGGTTTATGCCCATAGCCTTAAACAAACACGTCAACTCTGATAGGATCTTATCTTCTAAGTTGAAATTCCCAACAAAAGATAATCAGCGTTCATTCATTCACAGAACTTTCTGTTCTATCTACGTGATTCTAATTTTGAATTTGTTTGGGTAATGAATCAATAATAGTCCGGGGCCTCTTAGTCAAACCCTGCATCATCACATAGAGTACAAGTATTACTATATACAACTAGGGACATCATTGTCTCTCTGAGTCCCATACAACTTGTTGCTTACAGTTTGCTTTACTAAACATTATCTATAAGATAAACATATACATCTAAGGTTAAAAAATTCATAAAGCCCCCCACTAACTACACAAAATGTCTATGACATTTTTGCTTTTGATAAGTGAATAGTGTAAAAACTTTAAAATAATGCATACATCAAGTTGCTTATGAAGCAACCAATGAAAGAGCATATGATTAATAAGACAAAAAAGAGAGGCCCCTAATCAAGGCCTTCTTACTGACTCCCCACTGTAAAAGCAAGGGAATCAGCCTTAGCATTGGTTTCTCAAAGAATTGTGAGAGAGTTCACAAAGATCTGCAATCTCATCCATAATAATCACAATCCTCCAAGTGGGGCGTCACTGCACACCGAACCCATGTGAGAACATTAGATTAATTGCCTGTAGCATACACTAGAAAATAATTAGTAATAAAACAAAAGACCTCTTTTTTACTCACGCAGTGGTAGACTTCCCCAAGCCTTGTCAAGAAGTCATGGGTTCCAAACTTGGGGGCTTATTGTGACAAACCTACTTTTTAGGAATGACCTCTAATCCTAGGTGGTTAGGGTGACAAGCTGCTACAATATCATCATCCTCAAAGCCTTTTTCCAACTAATTGACAAAGCTGCCACAACATGATGTTAAAGTTCATTCCTGCCAACAAACGAAGGAGCAAAAGAAGCCTCTCATATTTATAGGGCATAAGCCCATTGACCAAAAAACATAGCTGGAGGCATTTTTCTTTTGGGTAGAAACCCTGTGCATCTTTGGCTCGACAAATGGACAATTTCAAGGGGAGAGGGAAAGTTTGACTTTGATTTCTTAACTGCCTAGATCGAATGAACAGCTTATATTCCCTGTTAGAGGCTGAATCAATTTGGAACACTTTTATGGTGGATTTTCCTTCTTTTTTTTGAGATAAACATGTGTGCAAAATTTGGGATCTAAAAACCCCTCTAGCTCCAACAGGCTTATGCTATAGTATACGGCCATTGGCTCATGAAATCTTTTTCCTGTTGCAAAATCAAATGCATAAAAGGTCTTAAGAGAATTGCTTGGTCCCATATGGTTGAAGTTAAACAGATTGGTAATCTTAAATACAAGAAGCACCACAAATAACATGGATTTAAATGAAAATGATAATAACGTATTCCTTAATGAATGATCAACGTATGTGAAAATCACCTGCACATGTCATTAGTGAGCAGGGCGAGTTTTAGATCCATGTTTGCCATTACAGGAAAACTACCATTATTGTAATCATAGCAAAGGCAATGTAAACCAGAATGAGGTTATGCATCTTACTATTATCAAATACCAGATGAGGATCTTTGAGAGCACACCGAATTTTGCAATGGAAGCTAGCAAATTTTTTTTTTTTTGAGAAAGTGAAGCTAGCAAATTATAGGGCTCAAAAGATTAAGAGGAGAAACAACCATCAACAAGAAAAATCTTCACGAAGAAAATGGGATTGTATATAAACTTAGATATATAATCTCTAAAGCGCAGGCTTCAAAACGAACTAGCAGACAGTGAGCTTTTCCAATATAGTTAACAAGAGGCCTAAGGTTATTTAGAAGCGCTAGGCGCTTCAGGCAAGGTGGCTTGGTGACGAGAACCAAGAAGAGGGGACAACAACGCAAAGAAGAAGCAACAAACAGAGAGACTTCTTTGTTGATAAAATTCCAATGTTCATCACTATATTTTCAGCCCACGTACAAGACCTCATAATTTATCTCACTAAATCTTGCTGTTCTAGTTACCCTGGCCAAGTACCCATACATTGGAAAGACACAAATTACCTAGAACCCCTCAAAGCATCTTTTAAATATAGAATATCTATTGAAGAACATATTAGAATTAATCAAAGCATAACTGACACACAAGAAAACAATAAAGACCAAGTAATTTACCTCCATTTATCTTGCGACAATTTTACAGCAAAGGACTCCACTCATGTAAACGAAAGCAAGCAATAGAGAGGACACAAGGGTTTTGGAAAGTGATTTAAGAAATCTTGATGAAAGAGATGCCACAAGAAGTTATGGACGAAAACATGAAAAGTTCTTTTCAACCAGGGGGAATTATAGAGTTTAAATTTAATGTCTAGGTCCTTTTTTGCTAGATATTTCGTGGGCAAAGTTGTCAAAATATAAGTGACGATGACTAAGGAAGAGAGTAGCAGTTTGTTTTGGTTCAGTTATCATTGTTCAGTTCCCATGTGTTCTGAACATAGATGCAGGGAGCTAGGTTCAGGGTTATGATCCGCCCTTGGAATCTTGCTCTGGAATCCTTAAGCTAGAGCCCGAGCAGAGCTCACTTCCCCCCTATCAAGGGTTCTCAATCCCTGACTAAAAGGGATTCCTATGTTCCGGAATCATACCCCACTGAAAATGGGAGCCCAATCAAGGTTTGAAGGGATATCCATCCCAGGGGAAGTTCTAAAAGTTTTTGGAATTTAAATATGAAGTCTTGATTGTGTTGATTATTTGCTTTTCTTGCAAGTTTCTAGCAAAGGAGCACCTATTGACAATTTTTATTTTCTGTTTCCACGATCATGGATTGCATCAATGGTTGAAAACTGATGTCGATTAGGGACCACCTAAGCCGCTAAATTTATTTATTTATTTATTTTGTTTGAGGGGGGAGGGTTGGGGGGTCCTCAGTCGCCCAGGTTGTCAGAACCAGGCGATTCTTGCTGTAGTGAATCACACTGTCTTGCACAGTTCATCTTACAGACTCAAGTGATTCCTAAGTTTGGCTCTTATCTTGATCCTACAATCCCATTTTTCTCAAATTTTTAAGGGACTTTCGGGTTATAGAGTTCTCATTATGCACGTATGTATATATATATATAT